CAGCTGGCTGATTTTTGTATTTTTAGTAGAGACAGCATTTCATCATGTTGGCCAGGCTGGTCTTGGACTCTTGACCTTAGGTGATCCACCTTCCTTGGCCTCCCAAAATGCTGGGATTATGGGCGTGAGCCACCATCCTGGCCAGTTATTTCTAACTACGGTAAAAATAGACTAAAATCATAGAATGGAAGAAGAAGAGATGGCATCAAGAATCAGATTATAGTGGAATAAACCGTATCTTTTATATGATTCGTGAGTTTTCTTACTGTGTTACCCAAATGATTGCGTTATCTTTCGAAAAGCTATGCAGACAATCTGGAGACACCATTTTTGAAGTCTGTTTTTCTTTTAGCTTTCATTAAACACAGAGAATTTAGAATTTTTTCATTTTTCACTTGTAATGGCAATGAGAGGAAAATTGGCAGAGGAAGACATTTTACCATTATTAAATGAATCAGAAGATGAATGCAGACAGATTCAGAGCAGCTCTCTAGATGCTAATGATGATGGTGAAATCGATCGTATCAGCGAATTCACAAACTGTGTGTCTTCAGTGGAAGATACCTTAGATGAATTTTCTTAAAATCAAGCATCAGTGAGTGAATAGTATTCTAAGGACATGGAGGGAATATGGTTTCTCATCCAGTTAGTCATTCGGCAGGATGGGCTTCATCACACAACATTTTATCACAGGAATGTGGACCGTCACCTTTTAAACAGATATGTGACAGTATTCTTTCATCTTTTATGATGTTTATGGACCAAACTTGATACACTTACTAAATGGATAATTACTACAAGTAATCAAGAGATGACTGGAAGGAAATAGAGGTAGAAATGAAAATAGCCATTGGCTTGGTCATTGTAATTGATGTTCATAAATCTGAAAATGAAAATCCTCTCCATTTATGGAGCACAGAAGATGACTGTCTTCAACAAAATTGTAAGCCATCAGAATGTTCAAAGATACTATGTTTTGACAATGGAAATGTGGGAAAAAGGACTAGAAGTCAATGATGAGCTTAAAACCTATTAGAGATGTATTTGAAATTTAGAATCACAGTTGCATTTCAACAACGTCAGTGCAAGGAGAACCCAAGGCAGTGACAATGAGGGGACCTATCAGAGATGACTTTGGAAGCTGGCATCAGTATTTGCAGATGTGACGCAGGCTCAGCCGTGACAGTTGATGAGCAGTTGTTTGCATTTGAGGGAGGTTGCCCATTGTAGATCCACCATACAATCATACTTTGGAAATATTGCAGATTCACTTCCGCCCTTGAGCAGCACGGGGGCTGGGGCGCCAGCATCTGTATATATATACACACAGAATACAGTCTTAGAGGACTGGGCAGGCTGCCTGGCATGCAGTTTGCCTTAGGTATCAACGATGGAGCCAGCTTTGTTTTTTTGTTTTAACTTTGTATTGGGGTGTTTTTTCATTCTGAACAACAAATAGGAAGAAATCCTGTTTTGTATTTGGGTGAAAAGTTTAGCTTTATCAAGCTATCTCACTGACTTCACAAGGGCCCAAGCTTCACCATGACTGTTTGTTTCTTTGGGGAAATTTCAGTGACTTTCATGGGTAACTAGAGATGGCTACTCTGCTCACACCATTCCAGCTGCTTAGCTACGCCACTAACATCACACGTCTAAGTTTTTAACTTCAGTAATAAGAATTGAATAGTATTCAAGAAGGATTCAAACTGCATTAATATTAAAGAGCTTTTCGGATCCAGAAAGTGCCTGTGAATCCCTTGTGAGTGTAATTTATACAGCACATGTCAATTAGGCAGAAGCCTGTTGTGTGGTGGGCCACCGGTCCACAGAGGCCCCTCCAGGCCGGCTTCAGGAAGTGCCTCTTGCCTTGGCAGTCACATCGCCAGGCCCCCCAGGGGTCCTTGCTGAGAAGTCAGGCTTTCTGTGACTTTGCTGTTCTAAATAGATCTGTGTCCCAAATAGAATGGAAAAATCAATTTAACTACTTATGAAACTTTTCCTTAAGGGTGAATGAATTAGGAGGAAAAGAGGAAGTATCTGTCCATCATAAGTAACTTTATTTCAGGGCTGACTAGGAGAGAAATTGATTTCGGTATGAAGATGAGGCATGGGCCGTTGGTGAAAGCAGAGCGCGTGCGTCCGGAGGCGCGTCACCCAGGGCTGCGGGGTGTAGCGCTTTGTGCTTCTGGAACCCAGTGGGGAATGAGCCGCAGGAGCTGTAGCAGCAGGAAAATGGCGTTGAACAGGAGCCAGAGACTTCCGCAGGTGTCGGCGCAGAAGAATTATGAAGGAGGAGAGAGCTAATTGCAATTAATGTAATTATGAGGAGAGAAATGTCCTCCGAAGGGAGCAGCTCACCCCACTTTTGGCTGGTGCTCCCCTCCCAGCCTCCCCGTGGCACCCTTCTCGGTGTAATTAATGAGCCGCCTCCCCCACTGGGAAGCCAGGAGGTGGTGGAGCTGGACTAGAGGCTGCCCGGCCGTCCTAGCTGGGGGCAGAAAGCAACCTTGCGTTTTTTCCCCGCGTGATAGACCTTTGCAATATCTCTACTTTTATAAGAACGGATTTAAAACCCAAGGCAGAGAAAGAAATTGTGTTTTAGCTGAGGCTTTAAATGTTCAACCTTGAAGGCTGTAAGCACAGAGTAATGGCGTGTGCTGCTGGTTGGCCAGCACTGGAGCAGTGGGCTGTGCTTGGAAAGGGGAATAAACTCCTCCCATCTCCTGCTTGTATATTCCGACTGGCCTGCCTGTCTGTCTCCCATTTACTGTGTGTGATCCAGCGGCTTTTAGTGTATTCACAGAATTGTGCAGCAGTTGCCACACTTGTATTCTAAGGCATTTCAGGAGACCAAGATGAAACCCTGTTCTCCTCAGTGGCCACGTTATCGCCTTTCCTCAGCCTGTGCCACTGTTTGTGGTTCATCGGCGTGGATTTGCCTGTTCTGATGTTTCACGTTGTGTGCTCACAGCATCCTGTGGCATGTGGCCTTTTTGGATTGACTTCTTTCAGTTACCATATGTTTTTGAGGTTTGCCGTGTTGTAGCACGCATCAGTACTACAATTCCTTTTATGGCCAAATAATATTTCATCTAGACCACGTCTTGTTTATGCATTTGTCAGTGGATGAACATTTGGGTTGTTTCCATTCCTGGCCGCTATGAACAGTGCTGCTGTAAGCATTTAGTATAGTTTTTATGTGGACATGATTTTATTTCTCTTGGGATATACCTAGGAGTGGAATTGCAGGTTCACATGGAAATGTTGTGTTTTATCTTTTGAAGAACTGCCAGACTGTTTTCCAGAGTGCCTTCTCCATTTACCTGTTTTCCAGAGTGCCTACTCCGTTTCCAATCCCATTAGCCAAGGATGAGGGTTTTGTTGCTCTGCATCCCTGTCAGCACTTACTGTTGTTGGTCTTTTATATTTTAGCCATCCTACTGGGTATAAAGTGGTAGCTTGTGGTTTTGGTGTGTATTTCCTGGATGATTACGAATGTGCTTATTTTTGTCTTTTTTTTTCTTCATTGGCAATTACATTTGATACTGATTGGATTCATTTAAGAATCTTTAAATTTCGTTTACTAGCATTAAATTCTATGCACTCCATTTTTCTAAAAATAAAACTTTTCATTCCATGCTCTTTGATCTATTATATCTTTAGTGAAATTGGTCTCAAATTTTATACAATAAAGATACTGTTTTATTGTTATTACTTTTTTTTTTGTTGTTGGTTAGAGGAAAAAAGAATTCTTAAAGATGAGTGTGAAAATTAGATTTACTTTCTAATTCATAAAAGCTGAAAGTTGAAAGTGTTGATGATTTTTCTTTTTAAGATAGATAATTAAATATGTATAGATTACCTCAATTTCTGTCATCTTGTGCCTGAGAGATTAAAGGAAAATTTGGAAATAAGAGGCAACCCCTTCAAACTTTGCAACTTCATGCTTCTAGCAACTGAGCCACTTCCAAATCTGTAGTTTGGTCATGACCGTAGTTCTTAAAAGTCAAAATGGAATCCTTATCTTCTGGTCTCCTTGGATTTTCAGTTCATTTCCACAAACTTTTGAAAGACTACTTATACTGATAGGCGTTTGAAATGCCAGATTGTATAAGACGTGATCTTTGCTCTTAGGCAGTTAAAATTTCAGGAGGGATAGATGGCAATTTACTGTGTTTATTTATTCATTCATTCATCAGTTATTACTGGGAGCGGTAGAAACAGAGGTGATGGAAATTACAAGGACTGTGTGATGGTTGTGGTGGAGGCGACAGCTGAAAGCTGACATTTATCACGTTGTTTCGGAAGCTTTTAAAGAACTTTCCTTGTTATTATGTCTCACTAATTCATGAAGTTGATGCTGTTATTACCCCTGTTTTACAAATCAGCGCATTGAGTCATCAAGAGATGGACTAACTTGATGAAGGCCACAGAGCGGCGGAGGGTCTGAGCCAGGGTCCTAACCCAGACTGTGGCTGTGCTGACAGCTGGGCAGGTGTGACCAGCCAGCTGACGTCAGAAGCCCCAGGCTGTCCGGCTGTGTCTAAGGGTCTGCATTTGCCTCCCAGCTTCGGAGCTCTCCAGCCTTTCCTCTGTGGGCCTGTGCAGGAGCAGGGCTGCCCTGGTCACCCTCTGTGAGGGCACGCGCTTCGCTGATGGAATGCCCCTTGCATCATGTCGTCCTTGGGTTTGGTGGTATGATCCTTCCCCAGCGGAGGCGTCGAGGCACCAAGAAGGAAATACTCATCCGTGGCCCACAGCTGAGAATTAGTTGCAGTGAGCCTCATCCTGCTGACTAGTATTTTGTAGCCTTTCCTTTAGAGCTTACCTTTCTACTCAATACTGCAGAACTGGGACCCCAGGTACTTTAGAATGATTTTTATCCACAGCTGAAGCAGCAGTGGCATTCGGTGTAATTCTCACTCTGGTTGGAAGAAGAGTGTTTTTAGGAGCCCTGTGAGTCTGCAGTGTTAGCTCTTACCGCTTTGCCCTTAAAGGTGTGTATACACAGCTTCCCAAAGGGAGGGAGTGGTGTACTGTTGCTACCAGCTCACTCCACGTAGGTTCGTTTTCTCTCCTGGACGCGCCATTGTAAGCTCGTTCACTGTAGGAGCTGCTGGCCTGGTCCAGCCAGTGTGGCAGCACCCGCTTGGGCCTGTGTAGCTGAACTGAACCATGCTCCCGTCCTTGGCTGCACAAATGATGCGATGAGGAAGAGAGCTGGCAGGCACACGCCGAGGCTTCTCCCACCAGGCTGAGAGATTGTGGGAGAATGGTGCCCCTGACGAGCAGAGGCCTCGGTGTCCCCTACTCCCCCTGTTCCTTAGGAGGCTGGTGGGTGTCAGTGACTCCTCTTGTCTGAAGAGCGGCACTGGCCTCAGAAGCAAATAGAGGCCTGATCCAGCCAGCCAGATGGAGAGTAGATACAGCTGGAAGAGCCAAGGGCAGAGGGTGCCGCCTCACTGCCTCGTCCCCAGAAGCACTGAGAAGGTGCACAAGACGGGCCTCTGGGACAGCGCTTGCGTGAGTCCCACGGCTGTGCAGGCCCGCGGGCTCCCGTTGGTGACTGAGTTTCCCAGGCAGTTTTCATTTGCAGGTGAGTCTTTCATTCGTTCAGTCTGCATCTTCAGCTGCTTGCTCAGCAAGTCTGTGCCACCAGGAATGAGCCTGCGGCCCCTCCTCTAGGGTGGTACTCAGACCAGTGTGCTTGCTGCATTGGGAAGTGCGTTCGGAGCAAATCTCTAGAGGTTTCTGTGCAACCTGATAACACCTCCTCCTACTTTTATGCTGGCTTGTTATGTCCCAGTAGGTTTTAGAGATTTAAGCCGTGCCTGCCTTCCGGGACGTTTTGTGGCACAGACCACTTGTATGAGCATTTTCAGTGGCCTGAATATTGATCCGTGGCCTTCTCTGGGAGGAGCAAGTCTTCATCATAGAATTTGAGGCCAAGGGGTCTTTCGAGACCGTCACATCCACCCTCCCCAGGCCGCTCCTTGTTATGTGATGAGGTAAAAGAGCTGTGCGCTTTTTCTGGGTCTCTGTAGAGTGACATGAGTCACGATAAAGAAATGCTACTAGGTCCCCAGTTTGAAGGGGGAAAGTGTTTGCTGTGTCACACCCTAAATCACCCACTTTTTCTGGCTTTTGTTGTTTTGACATGGCTTTGGATTCTTCTCCGTCTTTCTGTCTGGACCCAGATGTGTGAACTTGAACGGCTGAGGCTGCTTGAAGTCAGTGGTCGCCCGATATAGTCACCGTTCCTAGTTAAAAAGGCCCAGGCCGCCGGGGCTCAGTGACTCCCTGTGCATTGCAGGTGGACGGCGGGGCCTCGGAAGCCCTGCAGTCCCCTGCTGTCATCCTACAGGTGGGGCAGTAAGGGCCTAGAACCTGCCGGTCCTGCTGGAGGGCCGCCTCCTCCAGGCCCTCTGTCTCTGTTGCACTTACTTCAAGAGCTGTGGAAGCCCACAGGCTGCTGCTCGTGCCTGTCCGGGTTGCGTTCCTCTGTGTGGCATGTCCTGGCTTTCTTCTTCCACTGACTGCCCTTGCAAGTGGATCCCTCCCTCCTCCGTCCCTCCCTCCCTCCCTCCCTCCCTCTTCCCCCGTCACCCTTTTGCCAGGAGTGGGAGGTAGGCAGAGACAAGTGCCCGAGGAACCTGGCTGGAGGTCATGAGGACTGCCTGGCCCCCATATCAGCCTGTTCGGTAGTCTGCCTGTTCTTTGTGGGGATTCTGGGGCCACCTTTCCATTCTGTTGCTAACTTTAGGGACCTGTTTATTTAGCTCCTTCTCATCAAGAGAGATTCAGAAAAATTGCCAGGGCTTTTGAATCCTGCTCTCATCTGATAAACTCGCCTTTTAATGCCAGCTGTGAATGAGAGATGCTCTTTGTACACTGGCATAAATGAGGTGCTCTGAGCTGCGATGGGTTGTCTAGGAAACATGCCTTTGGAGGGCCGCGAGGGCGGAGGGCTGGTGTGTTAGAGGTGAACCAGAGAGATTTACAAAACAAAGCAGATAAAAACAAACCTGCATATCTTCAAATAAAACATTTTAGGTGAAAGAGAGAAAACAAGAAATCAACGCGCCTTACGCAGGAAAGATTTTCATTTTCATTTTCACTCTTAAATTGACAAGATGGCATCCAGACCTCTCTCCCGTGTTTACTTCTACTCCAGAGCAAGACTTTGTTAAAGAAACAGTAGTAGGGCCGGGCGCGGTGGCTCACGCCAGTAATCCCAGCACTTTGGGAGGCCGAGGCGGGTGGATCACGAGGTCAAGAGATCGAGACCATCCTGGTCACCATGGTGAAACCCCGTCTCTACTAAAAATATAAAAAAAAACATCAGCTGGGCATGGTGGCGCGTGCCTGTAATCCCAGCTACTCAGGAGGCTGGGGCAGGAGAATTGCCTGAACCCAGGAGGCGGAGGTTGCGGTGAGCCGAGATCGCGCCATTGCATTCCAGCCTGGGTAACAAGAGCGAAGCCCCCTCAAAAAAAAAAAAAAAAAAAAAAAGAAACAGTAGTAGAGTTTCTCATGAACTGTTCAGTACTCACCAGTGAAGAGTCATTTTTATACATGGTCATGCCTTTGTAGGCAAGAGTCCACATTCTTGGCAATGCCCTTTGAGATCTCCCCACGTGCTGGGCGTCCATGGGACAGAGTCTCCTCCACCCAAAGCCTTGGTCGCAGTCATGAGCTTTGCTCATCCCTCCACAGTGTGTTTTTTTCTGTTTTTTCTCTTGAGACAGAGTCTTGCTGTGTCACCAGGCTGGAGTGCAGTGGCACGATCTTGGCTCACTGCAACCTCCACTTCCTGGGTTCAAGCAGTTCTCCTGCCTCAGCCTCCCAAGAAGCTGGGACTACAGACACGCGCCACCATGCCCAGCTAATTTTTTTTGTATTTTTAGTAGAGGCGGGGTTTCACCATGTTGACCAGGATGGTCTTGATCTCCTGACCTCGTGATCTGTCTGCCTCGGCCCCCCAAAGTGCTGGAATTACAAACGTGAGCTACCGTGCCCGGCCTCCACAGTGCATTTCTAACTCCGGGTGTGTATTAGTTGATAACTGTGTGTCTCAGGAACTGGTCTCCATGTGTTCTGTGGTGATGGTTTGTGCTCAGCTTGGTTTGGGGAATCTTTGATGCAGCACAGAGGCCATCTCTCCTCTTTGGTCTTTGTCCCTGTGGGGCAGAAGCTGTAATTTCTCCAGAAGAAAGAAATAGTAGTTGCTGAAATGGAGCCTGCTCCTTGTGCTAAGAGGTCCCATGAGACGGTGAAGACCGTTCCTTTCTCCTGCAGAATCGATTTCATCTTTCAAGCACGGCCAAAGAGAAACATGCGGATACACATTACGGAAGTCAGAAGATCACCAGAGAGGCCTGTCACACACATTTGCCTCATGGAGATTGAACCTGTGTGCCCGGCCAGCAAAAACAGTGGGTTCGAGAGAGACACAGGCAGATCAGCCTGCTTCCAGGCTCGGGAGTTCCATGTCCACCTTTCGCTCGGGAGCAGAAGCCCTGCAGGAGGCGAGAGAGGGGCGCCCCGAGCCTGGGATTCCCTGGCCCCATCGACCTTCACACCCCAGTGAGAGTTATTGGCAGATAAAGCATATCTTTTAAGTGAGGGTCACTCATGTCATCGGATACTGGGAAGAAATGACAGCCTGACCCAATGAGGGAGCAGAAAATTTGGGGCTCCTAAAAGCGTCTTTGTTCCAGAGACTGACTGTGCCTCTTTTTTCTTCACTTCCATTTTTGAGTCCTGTCTTCACAACTCACCCTGAAAGAAGATGCAACACCAGGGTCAGCTCGAATACCTGGAGCCACCATGAACATGACGATAGCAGGTCACACGCATGTCGTTCAGGGAATCAGAGGCTGTGAGGGCCAGAGGGAACCTGGGGGTCATCTGAGTCATCCTCTCCATTCTCAGGCTGGGAAGCCGATGCCAGAGAAAGAAGTCGGTTTTCTGAGGCCCCATCTGTGACGGAGCTGAGCCTGGCCCTGCCCCCGTCTCTGCTCGGATGCACCCCTCCAGCCCTGCCTCCTGCTGCAGTGGTTGTAGGGGGCCTTGAGGACGGCATGGCCTGCTTTAAATGTTTCCATGTAGATCTGGAGTGTGTCTGTCTGGCAGTTACTCGTTTGGTGATAGAGCAAATGGATGCTTCAGACGGAAGCATCTGAATTGGTCTCTTGTTAGCAAGTTGACACCATTTCATCCGTCTGCTGAACAGGTATCTCTGCACTCAGGGATCCTTTATTCTTTTGGTGGGGAGAGAGAAAATACAAAATTAAAGTGTGTGTAGTAAGTTAGATGCTGGCAAGCACTAAGAAGAAAGAGCTGAGAAAGGAAAAGAAAGTGTTGCCGCCTTTAATCCTGGCTCAGCAAGGCCTCCCTGCCTGGGTCAGCAGTGACAGGGAGTGGTGAGCACGCCCCATTCGCAAGGGTGGGCAAGTGAGTGCAGAGACTTCCTGGGGCCCTGAGGCCCGAACCGAGGCTCATGGGGCTGGAGCAGGCTGAGCAGGGGAGGGCCGTGCTCGTCACCTGAGCAGCAGTGACCCCATGGGACCTGGAGGCCAGTGGAGTGACATTGGTTAACGTGGGTTAACGTGGCCTCTCTTGAAAAGGGTTGCCTTGGGAACGCAGTGAGACTAGGTTGTAGGGAGAAGCTGGTGGACCTCAGGAGACCAGTTAGGTTATGGTGCCAATCCAGGTGGGGGTGATTGGTGGTGGCTTGCAGCAAGAGGGTGGTAGTGGTTGGATTTGACTCTGGTTTGAGAGTTAAGCCGATGAAAAGCTTGCTCATGAATCAGAGGGTAGTTAAGATGGATGGCTCTAAGGCTTCTGCCTGGCTGGCAGGGAGGTTAGAGTAGCCATTCCTGAGTGGCTGGTGGGAGAGGTTCCTGGTTTGGAAGGATGGCAGGAGCTTAGTCTTGGATGGGTGCTGTTTGTGTGGTCTGTTGGACATCCTCATCATTCGACACTCTTGTGTCAAAACACCACTGGTCTTTACATTGTCCTCCCAGGAAGTCGTTGATTTCTGCCCCTGTTTTGAGGTCCTTGTGTCTGCTGCGAAGTGCTGGACTGTCCTGTAGGGCTGATGGCGGGGTGGAAGTGTTATGACGCTGGCTCCCACTTTCCTGCCCGAGGTCAGAGCCAGCTATCACCTCGGAGCTTCCTGTTCTTCCTTTCTGGTGTGGACATGGTGATGTCGCATCAGGAAGTTGCAAGGAGCAATGGGAGGACGGTGGCGGTAGCTTTCACAGATTGAGTTATTCACGGTAGATGCGTGTGAACGACAGATCAGTGTGAAGGTGAATCTGAAGAGGGAGAGAGCGTGCCTTTTACGGACACTTGCATATTCTGGATGGATGTGTGCACGGAGAGCTGGGACAATACAAAGCCGCACTCCACACCTCTGCAGTTCGGTTTTATTTTTCTCCAGTTTACCGGTGTGGTTTTAATTCTGTTCCTTTTCTCCAGAGAAATTCCTTGCAGATATCTCTCTCTCACACGTTCCTTGTAAATGTCCGGGATATGTGTTAATCCTGAGATGCATGTGTGAGCCTGCATCCATCAAAGTGTGTGTGTGTGTGTGTGTGTGTGTGTCCCCATACGTGTTTGGGGGCAGAAACAGAATCAGCCCAGCACTTCTGGAGCTGTCGGCGGTTTCTGTAGGTAGCATTGGGCCTACCCACCCTTTGCTTCTCTGCCGAAGACTCTCCACCTGCAAAATAGAGACAGCCCTTGCAGCTCTTCTCTCGGGGAGGTTAATGATTGAGTAGATGTATAGTGCCGGGAAGCCTTTGAAGTAAAATCACAAAGTACGTGTGTGTTATTATTGTGGCTCTAATGGTATTTATATTTAAATCATTACTATTGCAATAATAATATACTGGTTTGCCAATAAAACACAAACCACTTTAGAAGAGTGTTCTAAAATGGTAGCATTTTCTGAGGCTGGGCAGCAGTGTCTAATTTTGGGCCTTCACAATCGGTTTCCCGATTCATGTATTATGCATTTTCAAAGAATAATCAAGAGCACGCAGGATTGCCCGGGGCAGTGAGTACTGAAAAATGTACGGTTGGACCAGTTGTACCAAGAATGACCGGTCGTCTGCGCGGACATGGCTGTATTTCACACCAGGCAGGGAACATCATGGCAGCTAGAGCCGTCTTGGGTCCCTCAGAGCTGGGCTTGGTGATTGTGCGCCATCAAGGCTGAGCACCTTGTGTCACCTGTCCAGTTACAGCGAGGCGTAAAGTGGACGACTGTCTCAGTCATGACTGATGGATTTTTTTCTTTCAGACCCATGCAAAATTCATAAACCTGATTTATAACCAGTGGAATTTGTGCTGCTTGAAGCAGAAGACACAAATGCGGAGCTTTGTTTTGTAGGAAATGTCTTTAAGGTGCCCTGATGACTTTTGACCCTGAGCATGTCCAGGTGATGGCACCATGGGCTCTGCATGAGGGGGCGATGAGGAAGCAGGTGCACCTCGTCTCCCTGCACCTTGCAGGAAGTTCCATGTAGCTTATTGGAGATGGACCATTGATCACATTAAGAGCAGAAGTCACAGAGGAGGCTGTTTGTTACTAGTTTGGTAAATAAGATGTGTGCTGTTGAGCCCCCCAGCGCAGTGCATGTGGGTGGATGTCCACAGGGGACATACTGTGGCCTTGTCATTCCTGTGGACCCTGTCCCTCCTCACCATGAACTTGTCGTTCCTGTGGACTCTGTCCCTCCTCACCGTGGCCTTGGCATCCTGTGGACCGTGTCCCTCCTCACCGTGGCCTTGGCGTCCTGTGGACCCTTTCCCTCCTCACCGTGGCCTTGGTGTTCTCTGGACCCTGCCCCTCCTCACCGTGGCCTTGGCGTCCTGTGGACCCTGCCCCTCCTCACCGTGGCCTTGGCGTCCTGTGGGCCCTGCCCCTCCTCACCGTGGCCTTGGCGTCCTCTGGTCCCTGCCCCTCCTCACCGTGGCCTCGGCGTCCTCTGGACCCTGTCCCTCCTCACCGTGGCCTTGGCGTTCTGTGGACCCTGTCCCTCCTCACCATCATTTTCGGCTCCTGTGTGTGCTGCTTGTCCTCCTCTGCCTGGGCTGTTGGTTCTCTCGAGCTTTCTTCTTGGCCCTGCCCGCTTTTCATCCTGTATTCTCTACTCTTGCATGCTAGTGGCTTCATTACACTGTGTACTTAAAAGTCCGCAAGTGGCTTTTAGTAGGTTTATGAGCCTCCTGAAATGATGCCAAATGTTATATCTCTGTATGTTTTTCTGGGGAAAAGAGACATTGTTTTTATCAGTTTTGGACGTGGGTGCTGGCCTGCAAGGTTAAGACCTGGTGTTCTCAAATGTCAGCTTTCTAGCCCAGAGCTGTGTCCTGAGCTTCACTCCTTTGTATCTACCTCCCTCCTTGCCAGCACCTTGAAGGAGCTGGTGCCACGGAGTCTGGTGTTGGAGCAGAGGCAGCACACTCTCTCATACCTGCTGCCTTGGCCATGTTCTTTGTGCATCTACCCAGTCTGCCGAAACCTGAGGGCCCCTGGGTTCTCTCTTAGTCTCTCAACATTGTTGGTGGCAGATCTGACTGTGTCCCCAGCCACCCTCTCCCTCTGTCCTCCATGTCAGGACCACCCTATTATCTCCCGCCTCTGGCCTTCCTCTTGCCACATTGCATGGTTGGCCTTTCATCAGGTCTGACCTGATGGTGGTGGTGTCTTTGTCTTAGCAGCTGAGGTCTGTGACCTTGACCATGTGGTTAAGAGTTTGCCAGGTGTCTTCACTGTAAAGTTACTCTTTTCCCCTCGCTTCCCATTCTGCACTCTATGGAAGGAAGTCACTGTGCCGCCCGCACTTAAGGGGTGGGGTTATACTTGACTTCCTTGAGGGGAGAGTGTGTACTACATTATTTGGAATTTTCCTGCATGGGAGGCTTGTCTGTTCTCCACATTTGTTAATGTATCCAGTTATTTGTATCAATATGGATTTTTAAATGCTTTCTACTTTGAGTTGTAGTCAGATATTACATTATATGTTTTTGCTCAGATTGTTTCAGCTTGGCCATGGGGAGCTCTTTCAGCTGGCTCCTGAGTCCCTGGACACCATCTGTGTGTGTGTGTGGCCATTTCTCCAAGGATCCCTCATTCCTTTTATTGGTGGATTGTATTAAAACCACGATCTGTATGCCTGGTATGTTCCTTATCAATTATCTTTTAAAGAAATTATAAATAATGCCTTTCATCTTTATCTTCATTTTTATAATATCCTTTTTTTTTTGTTTTGTTTTGTTTCCATTTCTTTGTGTAGGTCTGTATTTCTACTTGGCCTTAAATGTGATTTCTTTTGCCTGAAGAACTTTAACATTTTTTGTAGTATAGCTTTAGTTTGTCTGGAAAAAAATTTCACTTTGTTTTTGAAACATATTTTTACTGGGTGCAGAATTCTGGGTTGCCAGTTTTCCCCCAGTCCTTTACCACTGTCATTCCATTGTCTCTGCGTCCTGCATAATTTCTGATTTGAAGTCTGCCGTCATTATCATCTTTGGTCCATGGCTTAGGAACTGGTAGAATCCTGTCGACGTTAGCCAGTTCTAGTATTAACATTGACTGAATATTTACCTGTATCAGGTTCTTTGTTCCGCTTAGCTGTGCATGTGTGTGATTCTCCCGACACCCTTAAGAGGGAAGGAGGTGATAGTTTTCAGTTGATAAGTGAGGAGCTGAGAGTTGAGCAGGTTAACTGATTTGTTCAAGGCATGTAACTAGAAGATAGCAGAGTTACGATTGTCTGATGCCGGAGACAATCTGCATCTTAACCACTGTTTATTGAATTCATTCCTTCAGAAAGTTGAGGATCAGGTCAGGGTCATGCTAATGTAGTTAAAGTGCTGTTACCACAATAGAAAGTCCGTAGGCGCTAGAGTCAGACAGACAGGTCTCAGCTCCACTCCCTCTCTGCTTCTTGCAGCATGTGTGACTTTGAACATGTCCTTTCCCTTGATGAGAGTGTGTGTTCACCTCCAAAATAGGTGAGAGCACTTCCCTGCTATTTGTTTCAGATCAGGATTAAGAAACGTGATGCATGTATGTGAGTGCTGCAGTCAACACTGGCAAGTTTTTCTTGGTTGGGATGTGCTCACTCATCTGCTGAATTAATGAATTGGATTTTGGCAGGTCAGATACTACACTGATTTCCTTGCTCAAGGCTGAGAGCTGTGGGCATAGCACACTCGAGCACCATGCCTCACGTTCCAGCCCCTCTGATTGGCTTCTTCTCCTGGGCTTATCTTTCCAAAGCACAGCCCTCATGTCACGGTGTCTGTGGCTCCATGCTCTGGGTGGAGAGCAGGAGCTGAGGACGCTGAGCTGAGTGAAGTGGAGGATGGGACAAAACCTGACAGCCACCGAATGTGGCTCAGCACCAGCATGTGTTCAGCTGACAGATTTGGACCAGAGTGAACTGGGTCATCTACCCATTAGGGATCTAATTGAAAATAATACTGTGCAATTTAATACAGTGATTTCTTACCTTTTTTTTTTTTTTAGCCTAAATTAGGAAAATGCTTCAAAATGTTACATGCAAGTGAAGTGGAAATAATTGAATCCCAGCAAAGGATAAATGGATTGTACTGGAATATCCAAGGAGGAATTTCTGATCAGCTTAGGGAGTGAAGGGGTTACCCTTCTGTTATTTTACTGAACCACAAAATGTTATTTTTAACCCATGTCAGGAGCAATTAAACTGACTGATGGTTAAGGAAATTTAATAGTTGAATAATAAGATGCGGCTCTTGACAGCTGTTTTTTCTCATTCTGGAAGTGTATTTCCTGAGTCTAGTAACCGCGGTCGGGACAGGCTGTCGCCGTGCTGTCGGGTCATCACATGGTGGTAATGTTGTGTTCAGCCTAGTGTTACATGGTATGTGACTTATAAAAAAATTAAAATACCAATTATGTATGTGTGATTTATTATTGAAGTGGTTTGTTAATTTTGATTTACTCAAAGCAGGGTTAATTAGTACATATCGATATATTTGATTAAAAGTACACTAATGATGAATAAGAAAGGCCAAACAAAATAAATTGTTTTCCAGTCACCCTGAATGGTTTTGAAATTTTAGCAGTCTTTCATGTTTGTGTAGAAAGGCGGCCTCACCCTGACCGGAGGTGTTCGCTGTGATTGGCAGCTGCTTAGCACAGGTACCGGTGGAGGCTGTGTTTGCGTTTTCAAAACAACCTGTGCTACTCCCTTGACACGTGGCTTGCGTTTTTTTTTTTTTTTTTTTTTTAAATGGCAGTATTTGTCTTTATGAACCATTTCTTTGTTCCAGTAGATTAACATATTAAAATTCTTTCTCTTAGAAATAAGCAGACGTGTTAGTTACAAAGTAGTAAACATAAATGACTAATAAACTGAAAAAACCGTCCAACTTCACAGGTAATGAAAATGCAAATGCAACCAATAATGCAGTTCTGTTTTTGTCTGTCAGATCATCACAAATTAAAAAGAATACTCAGTGCCTTTCGGGTGAGGTGAAGTTGACACTCTTCCAATCTTTTGCTGTGAAACAACCATTCTGGAAAGCAGTTTGCTGGCTGCTGAGCAGCCCGGTGCCTCCCTGTCCTGAGGACGTAGATGGTGATGTGGTGGAGGCCGAGTGCGGGGCTCACTGTGGAGGCAAATGTTTGCACGAGCTGAGGCTCGAACCAGAAGTTTAAAGCCATTGGGTGCATTGATTTCTGTGTCACCGTACACACAATTTCATCAAAACCCTTTTCAGTGTGTGAAAGTGATCAGGGTATAAAAACAATGGGACATAAAACTTCCTATTTAGTCTCAATTCTGGGTTATGGAAAACATGTGTGTGTGAATGTTAGGGGCCGAATCGTGTCCCCAGAATTCATCAGCTGAAGTCGTAACCCTGCTACACAGAAGCTGTTTGGAGAGAGGGTCTTTCAAGAGGTGATGAAGGTCAAGTGAGGCCGTGAGGGCGCCCTGATCCACTGGGTCTGATGTCCTAGTAAGAAGAGGAGACCAGGACAGGGCACACACACGGTCACCGTGAGAGGACACAGGGAGAGGACGGCATCTGCAGGCTCTGGAGAGAGGCCTCCGGAAAAACCAGCCCTGCCGCCACCCTGGCCTCGGACCTCAGGCCTCCAGAACTGCGGAGAGGGAGACTGCTGCTGCTGAAGCCACCCTGTCTGTGGGAGTTTATTACAGCACCCCAGGCTGACTAACGGTGAAACTAAACCAGGGTGTTACTTTTGTCTGG